ATCTATATATATATATGTTTGTGTGTATGTATGTGCGTGTGTGTCTGTGATTGTGTGGTTTGTTATTTTGTGTGTATTTTGTTTGTTTTGTGTTTATGTATACATACATATACATATATATATATAATATATATATATATTATATATATATATTATATATATATACATACATTAATACATTATGTATAGACAGAGAGAGAGAGAGAGAGAGAGAGGAGAGAGAGAAAGAGAGAGAGAGAGAGAGAGAGAGAGAGAGAGAGAGAGAGAGAGAGAGAGAGAGAGAGAGAGAGAGAGATTTACATACATAGATAGATACATAGATACATAGATAGATACACACACTCCTGGACCAAGACCAAGGTCCAGGAATTTGGGGACTTGTTAAGAGAACCTGTTCAGTCGGTACATGCTTGCGGCGAGGACATTGAAGTTACAGAGAGCTTTACATACCTTGGTAGTGTAGTTCATAACTCTGGGCTGTCAGACCATGAAGTCAGCAGACGGATTGGCCTGGCAGCAGGGGTCATGAACTCTCTCAACAAGAGTATTTGGAGATGTCGGTACCTGTGCAGAAGGACCAAGCTATGGGTTTTCAAGGCCCTGATAATACCAGTTTTGCTATACGGTAGCGAAACCTGGACATTGTCCTGCACCTTGGAGGCTCGTCTTGAAGCCTTTTGTAATAGGTCCTTGCACCAGATCATGGGGTACTGTTGGCGGGACCATGTGTCCAACCAACGGTTGCACCATGAGACTGGCACAGGACGTGTTATCTGCACAATCCGTGATCGCCAACTCAGGCTATACGGCCACCTGGCTCGCTTTCCTCAGGATGATCCTACCCATCAGGTCGTCTCTGTTCGAGACAACCCTAGGTGGAGGAGACCTGTGGGACGACCGAGGAAGTCGTGGCTTGGGCAGATTGACCAAACCTGCCGTGAAGAAATAGAGATGGGCCGAGTCCCTGCCTGGCGTCTAGCCATGAGGATCCTCGTAGGTGGAAGCGAAGGGTGGATGCGGCTATGCGCCCCCGTCGGCGTTAGCCCCTTGATGATGATGATAGTAATAGGAATTATAATAATAGTAACAACAATAGTTGCTAATAGATGCTAATAATGATGATTATTATGGTAATAATAAAAATCCGTTTAATGTAGTTATTAGCGCTAATAATAGTAATTACAATATAATAATTATAGTGACAAGATTTATAAGTATCGTTATTAATGATAATAATAATAGTAACAATAATGATGATTATAGTATTAATATAATTGATAACAATAGCAGCAGTAATGATAATAATGACAATAATAATAAAATCAATAATGATTAGAATCATGATAATAGTAACCATAAAAATGAAAATGTTAATAGTCATAATAATATTAAAGCTGATGATAATGTTGATAATGACAAGGATGATGGTGATAATAGTTAACAAATATTGTGATAACAATAATGATAATGATAATATATGATAATATTAATAATCAATAATAATATAATAATAATGATATATAACAATATGAAAAGATAGTAATGATGATGATAATAACAATAATGATAATAATGCCCTTAATGATTACGATATCAATATTAATGATTATGATAACAATAATAATGATTTTGATATTGATAATGATAATAATAATTATAGATATTAATAACAATAGCAAAAACAACAAAAAACAAAACAATGATAGCAACAAGAATAAAAGTAATAATGATAACATGATAATAATAACTGATAATGATAATTGTAATAATAATAATAATAACAACAACAACAATAATAATAATAATAATAATAATGATAAAGATGATAATAATGAAATGGTGATAATCATAATGAAATTGTCATAATAATAATAATAATAATAATAGTAATAATAATAATATAGACATTGATATAAAAGTAATATTAATTGATAACAATAGTAGCAGAATTATAATATCAATTTTCCTAATAAATGAAATGAAGAGACATCCTAAATAATCACGAGGACTTCAATAGCTACAATAATAAAGATAACACGACAACGATATTGATACTAAAAAAAAATCTGTCTTATCACAGGTACTTGACGATGTTCCGACGGCGACAAAAAATCCTATTGTCTTTGCTGTTCATCTTTATCTTCCTATTACTGCGCCCCGCCAACAACAACAAAATCAGTCAAAAGCAGATTATCCAAGAAATTCAAGGCCAAGGAGCGGTCGTCGAGGAGAACCTAGACCAAGACATCGTTTTCGACGAGATTAACGCCGATTCTGCAATGCGAGAAGAGGAGAACGTCGGCGAAGAAATTGAAAAGGAACTGCCTTTCAAATTCCTCATCGACGAGCCTCACTTTTGCGCCAAGGACCTGCTTGTCTTGAACATGATGCCGGTGAGCGTGGGCGACGCCGAGGCCCGAGCGCGAATACGGCGGATGTGGGGCTCCAGGGAGGTCGTGGCCTCGACCAAGCTCCGCCCTCTGTTCCTGGTGGGGGAGTC